TCAGCAGGAGAGAGATATTTGACCAGTGTGTGAAGCTTTTAGCCTAATCCTACTAGGCATGTCATAATTGTATGCACTGAACTTAAGCCTGAAGGAACACCGACTCAGCGCTTCAGAATTAGACCTACAATAAATGTGTCCACTATATTGCAGTATAATTCTGACACTAGCCAGTCATTCACAATATTAAACAAAATGCTTCACGTCCATTGATAGAATCTGCAGAAAAATGTCAAATTGTTGCCTTGGAGTGGGCTGGAGGGAGGGGTGGCCAATACATTGTTTATGGGTGATTTTAAAAGCTTGGATCAGTGAATTCAGAACCACAGTTTGAAAGATCTTGAGATTCTGTGCAAGTTAAAACTAAATATGTAGGGATACGGAAACCCGAGGCATTTACATTTGACTAGGTAAAAAGGGTGTAAAAATCACACCAGGTAAAAAGCATTTTTACATGCGTGTAAGAAACCATGTGCTGTGTATGCTAAGGCAGACCATATACAGCTTCCATTAAAGAACTGGTACTGCAATTATTAACAGAGGTTTTGTTTTTATTAGGCTTTCTTTCATCTTTCATTAATTGCTTACAATTAGGCTAGCTTAGGCTAGCTGCATCAGGGGTGTTGATTTTTCATTGTCTGTAAAGTATGTTAGAAGACTGGGGCTAGCAAATCTGCTGCATTTCAAATTATTGCCCTTCTCATGAGCACGTTCAATATGCTGAAATTATTTTTCTTTCATTAAAATTTGAGATGGATCTGGGCTTTGGTTTAGATTTTGAGCGAAATTTCTTCATGATCTGGGCAAGTTTAGGATCCTATGTTCTTGGGATCTGTATCTTAGAACTTTTGTGCCCTCTGATTTCTCCTTTGGGACTTGTTCAGTGTTTGTAGTATCTTGCCTCCTATTTCTGTTGCTATTACTAAGTTTCTTCAAAGTCAAAGAGATGTATTTTTCTGCTGCCCAAGACCGATCATCCAGTATTGTCACCATCTGTGCATCCTTTCTTTCTCAGAGCAGATTTAGGTGACACAGGGTGCATCTACACGTTCATGAATGTGCTTTTGGTAATGCTCGTTAGATTTAGTACCTCCATTGTGAGGTACTAGAAAAAGGTGCATTGACCTATTTTAATGTGCATTAGCAAAAGAGCATATTTTTGTGATGTTTTTATGTGCATTAAAATAGGCTACTATGCATTAAAGCACACATGTAGACGTGTCCACAGTGGTAAATATCTCTACTAGTACTGTAAACATTGCTAACTTTTGTAGAGCTGTATAGTCCTAGAACAGCGGTGAGGGGATTTCAGCTACTTTCAGGCACTGACAGAAGTTTGAAAAGGAACATTGCTTTAGTAAAAAATTCATTAGTGAAGTGGGCTGATGAATGGGGGAGGGGCAGCTGCATTTGGATTGTGTTTGATGTTGGGAAGCTACAGTATGTGTCAAATGCCATTTCTTCAGCAATGAAAAGAACAAAGTTATGTACACAGAACACCCCACAGGTGTGTAGCTGTGTACAGGCACGTACCAGGCCATTTTTCATTAGCACACTACCACTTTCACATTTTTCTGTGGCAGAAACAAATATCACAGGGAGGCCCCTATTGAGCAAGAAACAGGCAGCATAGTCAAATGTAAGGTACACAGCCTTGAGGCTTATTTTTTTTGTTAATAAATATCATCACTTTGAGGTTTTGCTAGGTAACTTTTTCAGCTTCCTTTTTTGCTGTGAGTTTATGACTAGGTTTTCTTTATTATCTTGTCCCAACTTATTCAAATGTTATTCCACCACACATACTACTAAATTTCCAAACCATACAACCTAGTTAGCAGTGTGTTGAAAACACAAGAGGGTTGTATGGTCTTCTAATTAAAGGAACTGCAATGCTTTTGGTTCTCTTCATTTAAAACACACAGAAGTAAGAAAAGTCCTTTCTGTTCTATATTAGGGCATATATTTCTAGTCCTTATTCATTTTAAGTTAACAATCTCATTAACATTTCCCAACCCTCACATTTTCCCTGACAGCTGCAGTATGCTATCCTTGTATACATTTGGGTAATAATAATAAAATCAGATTTTCGTTGCAATCAATATTGGGTGTCTTTACTATATCATCGCAAACTTAGAAAGGTGCAAATTTAAAATATGCCACCATAATGGGTATCTTGCATCTCATTCTTGGCTGATTTTCTTTATTAAAGCTTCTGCCTATTTGTATTCTTATAGGACTGGACGCAAGATGAAGCAGTCCTAGAGGAGCTGACTCAAAAAGTAGCTCAGGAACACAGAGCTCATTGGTAAGCTCCAAAACATTAAGGTACAGACCTTTTTTTCCTGCTTACCCACCAGTGGTAAGGTAGCCTAGGTGCATAAAAGTCTTCTGCTGTTTTCACTCAGGTTCTTACTGAGTTTGTTACAAAAAGGTTAATCTGACTTTCACACAGTTTGCAAATGTAAGTGACCCTGGAGCACACACTGCATATATTTAAAATGCATGCAGCGGAAGAGCCTGTCGTTTATTTCAGTATGATGCAAATGAAAGCAGTTCCAGTGGATGCTTATCAGGCTGACTTTGAGTCTCTTTTCTACAGAAAAGATCTATCAGGATCCAAAGGTTCTGAATTATACCTGTGCAAATTAGACTATGCCCCAAGACAAATATCCTTTCTGCATAAGCAAGCTTGAACACTTGGTAACAGTAGTGTCACCTTGGGAGGTCAGTGAAAATGCTGTACTTTGTGGAGAGCACTACACTTCTGTGTGTGCTAATGCCTATTTCTATATCTGGAAATTACTTGAAATATTAACTTGGAAATCTGCAGCTAAACCCTTTGGACACCTCCCCCCACCCCCTCCCCCGGTTGTATATATAAACAGGGCAAACTGCATCCTGCTTTCTAGTAAACTAATTCCACCACAGTGGGTGGAGCTCCCCTGTACATCCCCCATAACTTACTCTTACGCTTTCCTACCTGTAAATCCTGGCAGAGAGGAATGAAAATATGTTCTTAGAGTTGAGACCAGATGGAGAATCCTAGACCTGTGACTGGAGTATGCACACACAGACACACACCTATGCACACACTTCTCTCTCTTCTGTGTCCAGCATCAGCATTAGATTGGGCAGACGATCTGTCCCAATATTTCAAAAGTCTATTACATTTCAGTGCCTCCATTTTTGAGTGACCAATACCAGTATTTGTGGCCTTGTTTTTCTAAGTGCCCTTAACTTCAGCTAACTTTCATAGCTCATTGAAAATATAAAGCATCCCAATTTAGTGGGTTGCTTTAAGTATTGCCAATGCTCAGAAGAAAGATGCCTTGGACATCTGTCAGAGGTATAGGTATGATCAATCTGGAATCAATGTAAGGATCTACACTTTTAAGTTTGCTCCTGTGTTCCATGGCTATTAGGTGACATGTCTGCTGTGAGACCTTCCAGTGCTACCTACAGTAACAGAACGCAAAACTCAAAACAGAGGTTAACAAGGAGAGCAAATTATGATGTTACCCTTAGTGTATTACATGCTCAGTATGATGGCTTACAGGCCAGCAAAGATTTGGGACCACTAACCTATACCCATTTGTCAGTCATATCAACTTCTGACCTGGTGGCTGGTTACTGAATAGCAACCTTTTCCAGCATCCTCAGCATACTGAATGCCTTCTCCAGCATCCTCCCCATTCTCCCAGAGTGAGGCATAGTCCTTCCTCATTTTTTTTATTAGAAGTCTTTCATGATTCCTGACAGTGGGCTTATCTACACATGCATTAATGTGCCATTACTACTGCACAATACGTTTAGTACCTCTAATATGAGGCACTAACTAAATGCACAGTAGTGGGCACTATTGTGTAGTAGGGCTGCGTGAAATTTTGCTGGCAGTTTTGTTTCAACACTGTTTTGACTCATTTCGAGCTTGAAACAGCAAAATCAAAACGAAACAGAGAGCTTCAAAACAGCCTCGAAACGAAACGAAGCAAGTCGAAACGTTTTGAAAATTTCGAAACATTTCAAGTTTCAAAACTCAAGCTGGGCTTGCCTGCAGGGAAACAGAAACTAAAATAAAGAGAAGGGGTGGGGAGGAAGGAGTGCTCTCATTATCGACTGTGTAGCTGGCCAGTGACTGTCATCCTTCCCTGAGGTCCCGTCCAATCCCAGTGCTCTGGGGGAGAGATGGAAAAACTGCATAAAAGGCAGCATTGTTTGAACTGCCCTGCTTTCTGTCTTGGTGTCAGCTGAGTGAGGGTGCACTTTAACACTCGCACAGTGTCACCCACACATGTCACGAGTTTTGCCTGTCAGCAGCTAGGGGTGCAGGACCCCAGAACCCAGACTCCCCCTGCACCTATCTCCTTGACAGTTGTCAGAGGTGCAGGGCCCCAGAACCTAGAAGCCCCTGCACCTATTTGCTTGAAACTTGTCAGGCTTTGTGGCCTCAGCAGGGGCTAGCATGCCTGCAGTTTTGACCCCACTGTGGCTTAACGCATACCAGTGACATGAGTTTTTTGCTTTCAAGACTTTGAGGTGCAGTTTCCCTGACACCCTGCACCTATCTCCTTGGATCTTGGCAGGCTTTATGCCCTCAGAAAGGGCTACCCTTCCTGCAAGTTTCATCCACATCAGGCCAGAAATGACAAAGTTATAGGCTGTTTCAAGCTTCCCCATTATAGCCTATGGGTGAAACATCAAAACAGCAAAACTGTTTCAACTGAATGAAACGGAACAGCAGTTTCAAACTGAAACAAAATTTGAAATGAAACGCTGTTCTGTTGAAACATCGAAACACAAGTCAAAACAGAATGGTGCTGTTTCGCACAGCCCTGTTGTGTGGTAGCAATGGCACACATTCTTTTCATAACGCTTCATGCGCAATAAACTAATTCTGCTGCTCATTATTAGCACAATAGCACGGTTTTTGCTGTGACCTGCTAATGCACAGTAGAATTAGTCTACTGTGCATTGTCTTGTGTAGATGCACCCAGCTTGAGGAAATGTATTTCTCACATTAGACTAGGGTTGCCTCAACCCAGAGAGGAGTCATGAAACATCAGGAATGAAATAAGGAAATGGTGGAAATCATTATTACTTTCTAGAATGAGGAAAATCTTTCTGTCCCCTCATATACATTTTCTTTGCTCTTACTTTAATAGTGAATGTAAAGGAGTCATCAAAACTTTTGGCATTGACTGATGGGTCCCCAATCTGAAAAGCTTGAGAATTGCACTTTTTAAATACTTAAGTGCCTCTCTGTCACATTGGTTATCCAGTTGCTTCTCTCTAGATTGACTGTGCTGTCTGCCTCCTACTAGGGGCAGGATAGATAATGCACTACATTATCATCATGTTGACCAGTGATGATCTGTTGATTTTTACTAGATGTTTTTGTCAACATCTCAGAGGTATCTTCTGCAGAGGATTGTGGATTTGACATTTTCTGGTTGCCTTCTTAATTTGATTTGTAATGCTGAACAATTTTTTGCCATTTCTGTGTTTTAATTGTAGTGGCATACCAGCAGCAGATGCTGAACTTATGTACATCAAGGAGGTGGAACGTCTTGATGGCTTTGGACTGGAAAGTTTCCCTGTGAAGGTATAGTGTTGTTATTTATATAGCTTTCCTCCCCTCCCCCCCCAATTTCGGTAACAGAGAGCTCTCTAAGATGTATATACCTCACATAAATAAAAATAACACGTATTGATCCAAGAGAAAAAGGAACCCTGTAGTATCCCAGAAGATTCAGAATGGAAGTAGTTTGTAGTGGTTAGAATGGGTGTTCCTGGGTTAGAACATCCTACATTTGTTTACTGCCCAGCCCCTTCACTACTCTCTTACCCATGTTCAAAACGAATCTGAAACAGTGATAAATAAAAAAGGTAGCACTTCTCATCCATTTTACACCAAGGGACGTTATTACATCAGGTGCAAGGCAATCAAAATTCTAGCAACCCAATTATATCCCAGCATTGCCATTGACTTGGTGGGTAGGTGACCTTTGGCATTTCTCTCTACTTCCCCAGTTGTAAAATGGCATAAAAACACTTACTGACCTCACAGGAGACTTGTGAGATTTTATTAGCAAAGATAGGATATTTAGATATATATTTTTATGATTGCACCAGGTGCTGTAAACCAGAAGCTGAGTAATGACTTGGCCAACAATTGCTTTTTCAGCTTTTTTAATGGATTTTTTTTTTCCACTTTATGCAGCGATACTTGAATTTTTAATCAGTTTTCTTTATCTTAATGACCCAGGTGGCCAAGTGAAAGCTGGTCAGGATTGAACAGCACATGTTACCATGATTGGCTAAAGTGCTGAAAAACTGAAGAAAACTCTTGCCTCGCTCCAAAATTTCAAAATATTATTCTTTCTATTTTTGGGGGTGACCTGATAACCAGTCCCCCTTTTAACCAAGCTTCTTAAGAAAAGGGCATTGTTTTGGTTCAGGTAGTGTTGATCATAACATAGAAAAGAACCTTTTAGATAGCCAAAATCGACAGGACAAACAAGCTGCCTGATTGCATTCTGGATCTTGTGATTACATCCATTGAAGTTAATAGTTTCTGCACTGGAAGGCAGGAATTATGTGGCTGTCTGATGTCAGATCTTTGTGCAGCTGAAAGAAATCAAAGGTTTTGCTTTGGGATTAATTCACATTAAAACTGTGCTGTGGCAAATTGTTTCCTTAAAGTTTTTCATTCTGCTGGACTGTTGTTGGTTGCTACAAAGTTAAGCACTGACAGTACGTGCTGCACACAACACAAAAAATCATGCCTACCCTGAAGAACTAGCAGATTAAATTTATGGGCAAAAACAAATGCACTGGAGTCCCAAGGGACTTTTCTTTCAGAGGCAAGCACAAAAGCTGATTCACTGTCCATGAAAAAAAACAAAAACAAAAAAAATCCCCTCCCTCTACCCCCTTCCTCATGTCTCTGCTTATTACAGCTGTTTTGGTGACTAAGCAGAAAACCTCCAAGCCACAGCAGACTTTGAGTATAATTTGAAGAATCTTGGTTTATACAGTATTGGAAATGAGTGTGTGGGTAGGACTTGAAAAATGTACAAGACGCTTGCTTGCCAGAGACCTAACCCTTACTAGTTAGAAACAGAAATAGAATGTATGTGTGGCACCATGCCAATGAGTGCTAGGGCAAAATCCAGACCTCCTCTGCGTCTTCTGGGAGGCCCATCTACATATTGTGAAAACGGGCAGAGGGCAAGGATTTCTGACATGGGCTAGGGACAGAAATTACACGTAAACTGGTATAAGTGATCAAAAACCGGTTCAAATCTGTAACACAACAGAAGTTCAGTACAGTATACATAAACCGCATTTCAAAATGGCCAAAACCAGTTTAAGATAAACTTGGGTGGATGTAGTATCAGACTTAACTGATTTAGGTTAAATTGGTCTGTCCCGGATCCCCTTCAGATTCAAATTAACTCACAGTTCCCCAGCATCCCAGGATGCCTTGCACCTAAACCCCCCTTCACAGGTTGGGCCAGCTAGCCTTGGCCCAAGCTGTTTATTCCAGCTGAGCAGGAAGGTGTGCACTAGTGCCCCCTGCCTTCTGCCCTGGGTCACTGCAGGCATGTGGCTGCATTTCTGGAATCAAGAGCGTGTGTGTGTTCACTTGCTTGTCAGTTCAATCTATGCAGTTTAGACTAACCTGGGAAGATTGAAATGATTCAGCCTTGGGCTTTTTGACTGTCTGTATTCAGCCAGGATGTCCCTCAGCACCTACAGGATATTACTAGGGTCTTAGCATTAGGGCACTGAACCTGAGATTTTGCAGCTTCTGCATGGTGAAAGGGAGATGGAACTCTCTTTTACAGTTTGGTGAGCAATGGATGTTTTTTCAATTCAGTGACTGGGGAAAAAAGTCAAAAAGTGGGGGGAAAAGTGTATTTTGGGGATCAGCCCAAAACATCTTGTACAAGGCAAAATTATTTTTTTTTTGCTTGTTTGTTTTTTTAATGTAAGGTTACTTTTAAATCAAAGTGTCACTTCCAAACAGAGTCAACGTTTCATTTAGAAGATGTCAGAGCGAAAAATATTGTCATTTCCTAAATGAAGCACTTCGTTTTGAAACTGTTATAATGAAATATTTAGACTTTTTTTCAAAATATCTCTTCCTATCATTTGGTAGGAACTGTTTGCCAAATTCATCCTGATTTCACAAATAACATGGGTCTCTCCAGAATCGTATATTCAGAAAAATTACTATTCACTGAACCCCCCCTCCCTTCTCTCTCTCTCTCTCACACACACACACACACACACTCACACTCACACTCACTCTTCCTTTAATACTGCTGTTTTCAGAGGTGGAGGGTAGATCTCTGTTTACATGCAGAAAAATACCCTTAGCAAAGTGACTGTATAAAGTTGGACAAGTAGAAATGTTGTATTGTATTTCAAAGAACTGAATTTGTAATATGAGAATCCTTTTAAATAAACTATGATCCACTGCCTATTGTATAGGTAATTCTTGATAGTTATATAGTGTTTTCCATTTGAAAAGCACTGTACAAATGGTCTCATGATACAGGTAAGTATCATCTCCATTGTACATAAGAGTACACTGAGGCAGAGAGAGCCAAATTTGTAAATATCATTATATATTATTTTTCCCATTATGAGAAGCCATGTACTTTGTTATTTATACCTGTGAATAGTGGATTGCACCCACAAATAAGGTACTTGAACATCTAAGCTGCATAAATTGTCCCGTCTTTAAAAATGGAGGCCCACTTAAGGCTAAATGAAAATCTGGGCACAAAGGTCAAGTGAATGTGTCAAAACCTTATAGTATGGACTAGCAGATGTTTCCAATAGAACAGGGGTTGTTACTCTATGGCCCACATGCTGAATTCAGCCCACAGAGCCATTGGATCTGGCCTTCGGAGTTGGGGGGCTTCAGCAACAGTGACTTTACCTGTACTATAGTCAGGGGGGAGAAGGTGGCAGCAGACAGATCTTAGGGCCAGCTTATCTTGGACCTGAGCTGGGTCATTTTGGCCAGCCACCAAAAAGTGTTGCTGACTGCTGTCCTAGGGCATGCTTTTCTGTTCCATTCAGTAATCCTTTTAGCCATATTGTTTTGTGTCATATTGTTTTTAGCCATATTGTTTCATGATACTTATTTTGAATTATTTTTCAAATATCTTATACGTGAGAAACAACAGCTGTATGTGCTTTTTAATTTTTTGGTTAAACTACAAAAAACTACCTATGAACTCTTATGTGCTGTTTGTATGATAGATTTTGACCTCGTAATTGGGTGGTTCTTCATGTGAAATGACTTTTCTATGTTTAACTGAATGTTCATGTTGACTTTATACAGGATAATCATGGAAATGACATACATTTTGGTATTTTCTTCATGGGAATTTTCATAAGAAATAGAATTGGAAGGCCAATCACATACAGGTAAACACATTTCTGTATTTTAAAATGAATCCCATTTCATATACTTTGGTGTATTTTTCCCCCTCTTACAAAAGTAACTAGTTCTGTGCATAAGGAGTACTCGGTGAATAATAATTTTCAGGATTGGCTCATTGTCCATAAGAGTCAATGTGTTTAAGGATAGCCTGGGTTGTCTGTGAAATTTGATGGACAGAGACAAAGCCATATACTTTTAAGGCTTCAGTGGCTCTCTTTCATTTGCTTTGCAGTAGAAGTTTTCCTAAGTGGTTTTCTTATATCGCAGAGTGTATTTTGGGACTGATGGAGGGCCATTGGATGTTCAGTACAGAGGAAAATTTGATCATTTTACTCGAGTATAATTATATGAGTAAAGGGGGGCTCATTTAAGCTTATAATTTTGAAAATCTTGGCCACTGCCTTTTATTTGTGTGAACTGAACTGTTCATATTTGAAGGTTGTCTAGCAGGAACTAGATTGGAGTGAACTCCTTTTACATTGTCCATTGAACAGGCCTAGATGGTTTAAAAAAAAAAAAAAAGAGGATATCTGAGATCAGAAAATTTCATAGTTAGCTCATTATAGATTGTTTGTAAGCAGTGCTATTGGTTTGTGAGAATTTGCAGAGATCTTATAATGAAACAGATATTTTAAATAAGCCTGACTATAGGTTGCATCTGAAGCCTTCTTTACACCTCAGTGCTTTCTTATTTCTTTCCCCTCCATTTAAGGGCTTATTTTATCTTTTTTTTTTTTTTCCCTAGCACTGTCAAGAATCTGATCCTGGTCCTGTCTGTGGGGTTTTTTGTTTTTTGTTTTTTTTTTTTTTTGGGGGGGGGGGGGGGGGTTGTATTTTTGATTGTGTAGTTACCTGAAAAAATGAAAGTATATTTATTTTAAATGGTACGAGTCTCAAGATCTCTTCAACTTTTCAGTTCCAGAAGTGTAACATTTCATGGGAGGAGGGAGAGGAATGGTGTAGGTGTCCTCTGAGAACTGTAGCGTCCTTGTTTTGTTCTGTTTGCAGCAAGCATTCCAGTGCATGTCATGACAGGATGTATCAAGTGCATTTTTTCAAAAGAGCAAATCGTTTCCATCTCACCAGATTGCATGTTACAGACACAAATGGTGCAATCAGCTAGTTTTTAAAAAGATCAAATTTTTCTTCTTGGGCAGTGTGAATACCTAGAGGGGAAAAGTTAAAATTGGAAAATTAAAAGACAGATGTGAACTTGGTATCTATAGCTTAAAAACACTGCATTAAAAACTGTCAGGTAAGACTCAGCAGAAGACTGGCTATTCTTTCAGTCTAGGGAAATTGCAAACAAGACTTTTGGTAAGGCAGAGAAAGTGAGAGAACTCTGTTTCCTTTCCAGCTAGGTAGTCAAACTATAATTAAATTGTGATCAAATGGAATTCAACTTAGAATTGAGCATTCATATATTTCCAAAAATGTCCTTTACTATAACCCTTCAAATGTCCATTATTTGAGAAGAAATATTGTACCTAAAATCTGGAGTGGCTTTTATACTTTAATCATGGAATCTGATTGCTTGGTTGGGTGTTTTTGGTTTGGTTTGGTTTGGTTTGGATTTTTTTTCCTGACTGCTTCTTCATCAAAGCAGCTTGTGAACTTTCCCAACATAAAATAAGACTGCACATTAACTATGATATTCTTAACCTGTCTGTGAAATGTTTGAATGTATGCATTGGCAAACTCAGCAACATTTTTTCTCTTGCAGGTGGAATGATATTGGGAATATAGCACATAACAAGTCTACAATTGTTCTGGAGTTGATCAACAAAGAAGAAAACGTGCTCTTTCATACAGTAAGAAAAAGACGAAATAGTATCAGTAGGAGAGCTTTTTACCACTGCAGAAAGAATGAACTTGAAATCACATTGTTTGAAGAGGGCTGTCTCCTCACTCACCTGTATTGGGAGAGTAGTGAATGCAAATTCAGCCTCATCTGCTCACCCTCTAACACATTCACTTCACCCATATTCAGAAGGTGACATCAATCAGATTTTACCTTTAGGTCTATCTAATAGCTTCCAGACTGCCTAAACTGTGTTTTGTTGGGAAAGCACAGTTGAACATTGTATTGCCTTGTGAATAAGATGTGTTCCCACACCACACGTCATGCTGGCAGAGCTGCCGCACTCTAAACATCAATAGTCTGCTTGCACACTGTAGAGCTCTGGGAGAGGTGGTGCAATGCTGATCTGCACCTCTCTGAGACCCTGTGTCTCCACATAGCTCCCTCCTCTCCTGCAAACCTCCCCTCTGTCCCCCCTCCTCCCACATTCCTCCAGCACAGGCCAGTATGTAAATTGCTTAACATAGCTCTTATATTGTTGCTTTTTCACTCTGACTTAGTAATGAAGTAGCAGCATGTTGACATCATTCACTCAAATCACTCACTCCACTTTATACACTGCTCTATGCTATCCTTTCACAGTATCTAATGAAGTGAACTTGAGTTCACAAAAGCATGTGCTCTCTATATATCTTATTTAGTTAGTCTATAAGGTACATATCCACCCTGCCTTCAGCATGTAGGCATGCCTGGGTAACTCCAGTGGCTCACTCTGGAAGGCAATACATGTGTTCTTGACAGCTGACTTTGTGTGCAACATACCTCATCAGACATTCTTGCTATTGCATTTTTAAAGCATTTTCTTTATTGCTGAAACCATTTTGTTGTAATAGTAGCAAACTGAATAATTAGGTGGCTTCTCCAATTTTTCTTGTGTTTCAAAGGATGACATTGAAAATGCCAAATATATTTCACGGCTGTTTGCTGCAAGACATAAGTTTTACAAACAGAATAAAATCTGCACAGAGTGAGTACTCATGCTAAACAATTTTCTGTTTTGATACACTGCATTAAAAGTGCTCTGATTTTTGGCTTGTCTGTCTTTTAAGTTTTTCCAGTTTATACCTTCCTCTTTCTTTTTTTAAATCAAATATATGAAAAAAAATCACTCCTGTGTAGTCTGAAGCCTGTGCATCACTAAGTCTAACTTGAGTCCTATTTTGTGTACTTACTGATGTAAAGGTCTTGAGTTAGCCCTCACTCCTAAGGGTGAATTTCATCCTAAATGAGAGGAATGCATGAAGTATTAGTTGAGACATAGGGATAAAGACCAGTTTATAAGCTGCAAATATTGCTTTGCTACAGTGGAGAGCTGTGCATTTAGGCTGCTTACAGATGTGAAAAAAAACCAAGCAAACCAGCACTTTAAGATCGATGCACCCCTGCACCAAGCACAGCGCCTGTCCAGAAGAGGCATTGCATTAGTTTAGTTTGGCCCAGTTCACCCAACGTCTGTACAGATCACACACTTCAGCAGGGATTTTTGGTACTTTTATCTAATAGCTGACTGAATTAGCTTCAGACAAAAGCACCAAAAAGCCCCATTGAAGCGCATGATCTGTACAGACACTGGGGAGCTGTGTCCAACTAACACGCTTCCTTTTCTGGTAAAGTGCTGTTTTGCTTCTTTTTTTTTCCTACGTCTGTCAGCCGCCTTAGCATTTCGGCCATTTTCAGAATAGGCAGGGCTGTGTAGCAGAGACGGGGAGAGAGAATTCCTGTAAAACATCCAACACATTGATTAGTTAACTGTAAATCTGTGAAGCAGCCCCCATCCTATCACCGCTCCACTTCCAGTTGGACATCCCATCTGTTCTAGTGGGCATTGCCATCTGTTGGAAAACGAGGCCAAAATAATTGAAGGCAGGATTGAAGTGTATATGGCTGATGTAAAATATTATACACTTACTTTACTGAGCTGCAAGAGGGGTGGTAGAGGAGAGCTCTATATGTTAACGGTGTCTCTTTCCCCTTCTTCTCTTTCCCCCGCACCACGAAGAAAATCATGCAGCTGATCAGATTGCATATATTGAATCTGGGGGAGAGATGAATGTCCAAAAGATACATTTCTCAGCAGGATGCATGTTGCCCTATCACAGCCTAGTACTGTGGATTTATTTTTGTCACGAAGAGCAAGAGCAAGTTCAAAGGGAATCTTCTGGTTTTCTCCCCTGGAAAAACATGCTGTGATGGCTAAAAGGTCAAAAAACTACTGGCCTAGAGCAGACCCTGAGGAGGAGAACATTTCTGCTTTGAAACTGTATACCAGGGTCACCAAAAGGGATGCTCCTGTTACAGTAAAGGCTGTTTAATTTCAGACCACATAAGCAATGTCTTTTGATCATTTGATCTTGTTTGTATTTTTATTTTTGATCTCTCAGTGTTGAGCCTTAGGTACTCAAATGCCGTGAGTCTGGTATTGACAGAGACATTGCATGCAGCGCTCTAAAAATATTTGTATTGTTCTGCCCTCAGGGGAAATGGAGCCTCTGAGGGAAATAAACAGAGTCAAAATCTATTTACCAAGTAAATGGGTCTTGTCCATGTAGGAGTCTCCTCTGTTACCAGCATCTGCACTGGGGTTAGCAGCCTATTCCTGCATGTGTTTTCTGACTGAATAATTTTCCCAACCTTTGTGTGAAAAGGACTCTGTTGTTGTTTGTATCTCCTCTGTGTGCATTTCCTCTAATTGCACATAACATCATTCACCAGATCAGAAACTGTAAGAGGAGCAATTCCACCTTTCCTCTCTAAACGTAAGCACAACTATTTCTGCTTCTTCTGTGTTTTCTTTTTCCCTCTCTTTTCTTTATTCCCACTGCATCTGCCTATTCCTGACATTGTATCTGGCTCTGCTAGCAGTATCCAGTTAGCTGCTCCTTTCCTTCCTGATCTGTGTGCATTGCCTTTTAGTGATTGTTTTTCTGTTCACCAGTCATCTTGAGATTGTGCCGGTGTGATATGTTCCGTTTTTATCCCTCAAGACACTTGATGTTTTTCACATTTGATTTTTATTCTTAAGCCAGAGTTTATTTTCTTTCCGTTGTTTCCAAGTTGACCGAATAGGATTATAGACAGCATGTGTATTTTTACTTCTAGAAGGATCTGAATGATCTCAGTCTATTTCAGTTTTTTTTACATCAGTAATGAATGATATTTTACCACATCTTAGTCTCTTGTTTTCCCTACCCAGTCTTGAATCAGAATGTAAACTTTGTGCTAAGCTCAGTTCCTGGAACGTCTCTCTCCACTTCTCCCCACAGACAATCAAGTTCTCCTCCTCCCATCAGACGGCGGCCCACCTGGAGTAGGTCATCCTTGGTATGTACTGTGGTGGGATATTAAATAAATATGCTCATATCACTGCTACCGGGATGGGGCGTTTTCTAAACATCAATTAAAAACATCAGCTGACTAAGCAACTGCATACTTGCAATTTGTTCCTAGCATATCTGTCTCTGTGTTTCAGCAGAATCTGTACTACTTATTCTGTTCCTTCAAAAAGGCATTTCTAGATCTTTGTATTTCCATGATAGTAAAAGTTGTATCCTCTATTATTCTTTCCAAATTCTTCCTATAGCTACTATGTTCTGACAAGTAACTGTTATAAGCTATAGACCAGCCCCGTTACCTCTCTGGAGGGGTTGAATATTCTTGTCAGCAGCGTTTCTCTCTGAAGTAACTTGCCCTCCAGAATATTTCTGCATGCCTTTTACAACAGTTGTGTCTCATACCAAACGACTATTTTGTCTCATACTGTAGCGTAGTAATAAATCAATAGATGTCCACTGGAAATGAAGCAGCACCTGGCATGTGGGTGGCTGTAGTGTATTTCCATCGTGTTTCAGCAGAATTGTCAGTGACACTCACTTAGATGGACCCAGATCTTTGAGAGAGAGAGAGAGAGAGAGAAATATCCAAGAGGCCAGGACTTGCCTCATTCCTACTGAGGGGTTTATTGCTCTGCCTAACATCTCAAAAAAGCACGACTTTCAAATAACAGAAGTCTTTACCTGCTTGCAGACGAATTCCATAATAACGTGTGCATTACAGTTTATTCCTGGTATCTCCTGATAATACAATACATTCCTTACAGAAGGTGCCTCCTTTTTGGTAGAAATTTTAAATTTCTCTGATTCCAATCGCTTAGGTTCCTTCAGTTTTTGTCAATCTAAGCCCTGCTATTCAGGCTGCTAGTAGAAGCAGCCACAGAAGAGCAATGCTATTCTGAGAGAACGCTCTTCTCTTTTTTTTTTCTTTTTTTTTTTTTTTAAATATCTTCAACTGTAATTGAGTCTGGCCTCTTTGCCTCGGTTCTTGCTTTACCTTTTCCTTTCCTTTCTGCATTCAAGGAAGTATATGTAACCAATCACAGTCCCTTTTACTTCTATTCCATTTCACCCATTTCCATAGAAAATGGAGATGTAAGCCTCCTCCTTCCTTCTCCTGTAATAAACTGACATTGTGATACTTTCTGTGTGTACAGAGGTAAACTCTGTCCCTTTCTCCCTAGAAGCCATAGTCTTAGTGTTTCACTTTCCTTGACCCAGACCATGTAAGAGATGCATCATGTGGTTGCGTGTGCCTACTTGCAAAGCAAGGGCACCTTTCCTCTCTTAACATGTGCCCACATGCTTTCAAAACTTTTCAACCCAGTCACACAAGAAAAGAAAAAATAGTGGGTGTGATTACAGTGCCATCTTTTGTGTAAAGTGCCAGAATACAACAAACCTGTGGTAATCACAATCACTGCCAATGATTCCTACCATATCACAGATGGTCACTGCAATATTTATCATTGATGGGTTGACTGCAGAAATTCTTCATTCCGGACGTGTTCACTTGTCTCCTAAACCATAGCATGGCCTTCTTACCTTTACCTTCGTTCTTTGCCTACTTTTTGTGGTTTTGTGCCTTTACCTGCTTTTGTCACGGTTTAGGTTCTAAACTAAACTCTTTGAAGGTGAAGAGTCTGAATAAAATATTGCAAAAGAAGGTTTGCAACATACCATTTTCAAAAGAGGCTTGAGCATTATTGAACCTGTGTTCCACTGACTTTAAATAAGAGCAAGGTTCCTCGGTGGCTACTTCACTTTTGGGCTCCAGAATCACTTGGGTACTTTTGAAAATGTCATTTTTTCTCTGTCTAACATAGATCAAAGCACCATTTTGTGGAAGAACGTAGAAAAATTCTTTTTGCGTTTCATCTGCAAAAACTGTGGCAAAGCTCCATTTTGCTGAGGTTATTCATGCTTCTCTTTCTTTTTTTTTTTTAAATCTTTTTATTCCAGCCAAGACAGCACCCATTTATACTGCCTCCTATGCATGTCCAATGTGGAGAACACTACACTGAAACACACAATTCACAAGGTATCTAGAGCTTATGTGTTTCCTTCTAAGAATCTATAGCTGAGTGTGCAAGCTCATCAGATCTTGATTTCTAATCAAGAAATTTGATCCCTATCAAATGATAGTTAGTCTTGAGAAAAAAAAATGCAGCTTCATAGTTAAGATTGCAGAGGCTTAAAAGAGGAACTTTCAAATGTCTCCAAATTCTTGGATGGGTTTTTGAGATAAGGTGAATGTTGTCAAGTTTGCCAAGGAATTGCTAGTGTCATTAGTCAACAGCAATTCATAATTCATATGTTAGCATTAGTTATTTGAACTAATGCATGACTCATGCCTCAGCCATTGGCGCCTGAATTTAACATTTCAATCTTGTTAATACTTTTATGTCCAGATACAAAATAAATAAGAAGGAAGTGAGCTATGAGGAATGTAGCATGTGTATGCTCTGATTCCCTGAGCTATGATATAGAATATGGTACCACAGTCAAGGACCAAAAAGGTTGGAGATGTTTGTGTCTGTGCACTGCACCTAAGAAATGTTATCCAAGGAAATTCTACAGTTGAAGCCTAAGGCTTAGAAAATTAGGGAAGGGCAAGAGATGGAGGTAACTTCTCAGAAAATATCATGTGCCCTTGAAGAAAATGTACTGATTGGGTCATTATGATTGATCATCATGTTCAAGTCGCATCTTCCACTAACATGCTTCTGCTAACATATGCCTCCATTGTTGTTATTGACTAGTGCCTCGAGCTGGAGCTTTAGAAGAGGCAAATGTTATTTCCACACTCTCCCTTCCACACTCCCACTCTGCCAGAAAAGTTGACTGAAAGGTTTTATCAGGTCACTTTGACTAGAGCTGGGGATAGAGCCCAGATCTGTAATAAGATTAACTCAGAACTCATTTTTTAACCACACGAACTTTAAAATGAATTTGCCCAACTATGTTTATCTGCATACCATGAGAGAGACAAATGAAGTGCTCTAGTCTGCCTTAATCGTCAGTAGTAAATACATGATGAAATTTCAGTGTTCTGACTGTCAAGAACTACTTTTTAAAGATGGAGATGGCTAAGTTTAGGAAAGAAATTATATTACACATTACACACTTTACTTTATATTACACACTTTACAACGATAGCAGAGGGCTGGAGTCAGTGCCCCAAGAAGTAATTTCCATTCCCAGTGTCCTATGAGGCAGAGGCTGTAGAAAAAAGTTAACTGAGATTTTAAAGAATGGGGTCCTGTCCTGATTTTAATCACAGACTACTTGTGTGATGTTGAATAAGTCATCTTAAAACAGATTTTTAGAAAAGACCATTTTTCTGAGTTCTGTGGACATTTTGGAAGGAGGATTGGCTTGTCTCAACTGTAACTCAAGACCTGACTCTTATTCCTGCCTCTGTTATAAACTCTTTGTCAGACCTAGGCTTAATCTTTCCATTTCTCCAGCTCAAAGTTCCAATTTCTAGGCTATTTTGACTTCCCAGGGGCATCACTGGCCCAGTGTGACTTGCTTAAAATCCCAGAGGCAATGCAACTACTTTTGATGTTGAGTAACATGCTGTCACCCCACAGGAACCTCACCGTCACCACCTGCCTGAGTAGAAAAGGACAGTGACTTGCCATGAGACAAAAGGGAATATATGGAACAAGGGTGGCCAACTTGAGGCATATACACCCCAAATGGCATGGGAAGCCTCGGCGTGTGGCCTGCAGGAGCTTGGGGAGGGGACAGGCAGCATAGTGGCAGATAGGGCAGGGAGCAGAAAGCAGAGCAGCAAATTGGACAGGGCAGGGGACTGGAGAGGCACTTGGTGAAGGTGTGGGACTAATTTGTGGCACGCCTGCCAAAAAGGTTGGCCCCCACTGACTTAGAAAGACTGTTGGCCTGAGGATTACTGCTGTATCTCTAGAGAGCAAATGTAAGTTCTGCTGAACTGCAGCATGAGTGGGTGGTGTAGGAAGTGTCCTACAACCTTGTCCTCTACTTCTAGAACTCCACTCAAAACTTAGGTGTAATTTGGATCCAGGAGTAGGTTCAGCATTTTATAGAAATGGGGCTCAATATCATCATTCCCCAAATTCTGGGAGAATTTGGATCTGTAGAATTTTTTTGGTCCTATTTTTGTGACTTGGGGACTAAGACCAAATGTTCTTTGCAGCTGTAAACAAAACCTCCTCTTAATCTTTGGGTCAGATTGTACCGGTTCTGGCAGTTTAATATTGGAAAGATTTTGAGGATCATGGCATTGACTGTGTCCTTGTTTATTAAATTGTCCTTGCCTCTTTCTCCTCTGCACACAGACAGCATTTTCCATGGGAATGAAGAAACATTCTACTGTAGATCTCAGACCAGCTTGGATAGGTGTCCAATGGACTTCAGCTACTTAAATGGTAATGGGCCCAATGGCAGTGTATGCAGTGCCCACAGCATGAACTCCCTCAACCATTCACAGAACTTTGTTCAGGCTTCCCCAGTGTCCTCCAATCTCAGCATCCCAGGAAGTGACATCATGAGACCAGACTATATTCCCAGTCACAGACATAGTGCAATCATAGTGCCTTCCTACAGGCCAACTCCAGACTATGAAACGGTCATGAGGCAGATGAAGAGAGGGGTTATTCACATGGACAGCCAAAGTCAATCTCTGAGGAACCTCAATATTGGAAACACTCATGCTTACAACCAATCAGAAGACCTGGTGTACAGTCAACCTGAGATTCGGGAAAGACATCCCTATACAGTTACTTATGGACCCCAGGCTGGCTATAACAAACCTGTTGCCCCCTCTGACCAAATGAACCCTAACACTGTGCAGAATAAGACAGCAGCCAGTGCCATATCCCATACAGTTAGCACGCCAGAGTTGGCAAACATGCAGCTGCAGAGCAATCAGAGTTATAGCACTGCTCATATGTTAAAAAACCATCTGTACAGGCCTCCACCTCCATATCCACGTCCACGTCCTGCCACTAGCACACCTGACCTAGCAAGCCACCGCCACAAGTACGTCAGTGGCAGTAGCCCTGATTTGGTTACTCGGAAGGTCCAGCTTTCCGTGAAGACATTCCAAGAGGATAGTTTGCCAGTTGTTCATCAGTCTCTCCAGGAGGTCAGTGAGCCCCTCATGGCAGTCAAACATCCTGCAGCTGTCAACAAGCGCCATAGTTTGGAGGTCATCAGCAATATGGTGCGTGGAATAGAAGCCATGGCATTAAAGACTTTGAATGCCCCTCTACCACGTAGAAACACCTTGCGAGAGCAGGTGCAGCCAGAAGAGTCAGTGCAGATGGGACACGAGGTTCAGCAGCTCCCTCACTACCATCATAAAAAAACCTTCTCAGATGCCACAATGCTGATACACAGTAGTGAAAGTGAAGAGGAAGAAGAAGCGGCAGAATCTGTCTCTCAGATAGCAGCACTCCATGAACAGTTGCAAGCTGCCTTGGCTAGAATACCAAATAAACCTCCTCCAGAGTATCCTGGGCCAAGGAAAAGCATTAGCAATGGAGCCCTTAGACCAGACCAAGTAAATATTTCTGCAGCAGTAGCCAGGGCAAGGGCTATGAGACCAGGACCTTCTAAAGCCATTAGTGTATCTCGGACTGATCAAATGACAATAAATGGGTCTCCCCTGGGACCCTCTATCTCAGAACCCGACCTCACAAGTGTAAAGGAAAGGGTCAAGAAAGAACCAGTGAAGGAAAGACCTGTGTCTGAAATGTTTTCTATTGAGGACAGCATTATAGAAAGAGAGATGATGATGAGGGTAAGTACCTTCCTCTAATGCAGAGGCTTTGAACTAAATAATGGATTATTTTCCCTACCAAATTAGATAACAGAAGCCTGTCAGACCTACAGACAACAAGGAATGTAAAGCAGATTCATGCAGACAAAAAAGTTGATGGTAATTGGATGTACTTAAAATTAAGAATAACTAACTTTAAAATGAAGCCTTGTTTGTACAGTCATTCAGCAGTTTTTGACATTTTGAAGAATAGTGAACATGAACTTATTTAAATGATGCAGGTGGGGAATTCTGATTCAGTAGCCTTTTTACACCAACTTTGGGATATAAAGTCAAGTGTATGTGATATGTAGTATAATGGAGAGTCTAACTCACAATGGTTAGACTTAACCGTTAATGTCTTAACGTTACTTTTTTCTACAGAATTGTGGCATGAACCTAGTCTACAACTGTACTTAACATGGCTGTGTAAATTTATGGCGACTAAATGTGGGTCATTGTAAAACTTGAATAGCTGATTTTCTAAATTAGGAACTTGATGCTAAAGGAGCAGCTGTACTAAGTTGAAGGGGTAGAAATGCTATGTTTTTTTTACACGTACGATATAGGTCTTGGAATCCTTAAACTCACATTTTTCTAAAACAACAGAGAGTACGTGCCTGCCTTCTGCCGCACACCACAGAAGTTTTCAGATAAATGTGACATCAAACAAGTCAGCGAATGAATTATGGCACATACCTGGCACACCTAGTGTTTAAAGAGATTAAGCTGATATCAGTGCAGTGCTACACCTTGACTGGCTGTGACACATTATTTTCTTTCAACAGCTTAATTTAAGCACCCTGCATTACAGAGATGAGATGCATTTTTGCAGAGATTATATATTGAGGGTATTTCTTCTGCTCGTGTTAGAAATACATGTCTACTAATCTTTAATTTACTAAACAGACAAATAAAATGTCTGTTCTCTGAACCTAAATAATCAGCAGGGAAGGTTTGAAAATATAAAGAGATTTAGGTTCCAATGCTGCAGTGGCTTACATATGTGCTTAACTTTACAAACCGTGAATAGTCCTACTCAAGTCAAGGAAAGTTATTTGTGTATGTAATTCTTTTTTCAGGATCAGAGCCTTAGAACAGATGACACTGAATCTCGTTTTATTGATGAAATGAGCAAGTGGTCCAGGGGATGTATAGACAGTTTTGACTAACTAATTTCTCACTAAGCCTAATATCAGCAAAACGAATGAGAAATTACTGAAGATCTATGTTTAGAATAAAATGCTGCTCTGTCTTCAAGGGTATTTTCAAACTTGTTTGGAAAGTTGCTATTTTGTTGCTGATGATTTTTGCATTTGAAGTTTTGGTAGCAAAAACAAAAGTATCTGTTCATCAACAGGTATAGGCCCTCTCTGATTCCTGCATTTGTATTAGCAGAACTCAAAGGAAACTCTCTTGTGTATTGAAAACCACCTCACTCTGAATCATGTTGTTATTATTTTCCATCATAATCTTGCCATTGCCCCAAAACTCTATCTTGGAGGTTGCAATAACCCTGATCTAAGCCTTCGTGATAAGAAAGATGCTCCTGGTTGCAAAATATAATGTCTCACACACACACACACGCGCGCGCACACACACACGCGCGCGCGCGCACACACTGTAGCGATAAGGCCTGTTCAGTGTAGAGTGTCCCAGAATACGTTGAGGAGATTGTAGGACAGGAGCTTAAATGGTTCAGAAGTGTTTGTCAAGGCAGAGAACTGCTGGGCTACTAGGTTTGTAAGTAGAAATGTAGTTTGAAAACCTCAGTTCTGAATAATTGTTCAGCATTAGATAAACTTTGTTCTCCCTCTAAATGTATTATCTCCTGATACATTTTGGGGAGGAGAGAAGAAAGGAGGGGGATATTCTTTACCTAAGCTAAAATTATGTTCAGAATGGTTTTTAGCTTAAATCAGGAGTTGCGTAACATTTGAACCTCTTTCACTACAGATCTCAAAATTGTGCTAGCTAAAAATGAGCGAGTTTTCCATGCCTGAGGCCATAAGCGCAAGGTGGACTATTTTAATTTTGTGATATTGCATTTTGTTTCAGATATCAAATTTCTATGCAGCATTTGCCATAATACCAAAACAAAGAAACTGGGCAAAAATATGAGATCTTTAGCTTTCTATAAATGTAGTAAAATCCTGGCTTGCTGCTTTTCCAATTTCACCAGCAACATGATTTTCTTGTAATGCAGTCCTATTGTAGAACTCAATGGCAATGGAAAAGTTTACAACCTGATGCTTGCCAGAAACAAGCCATTCACTGTATCTCTGAAGGGAGTGGAGAGCCTAAACCAAATGCAGCTGTTAACTGGACTTGATTTGTGCATGGTTTTCCCCTGAAATAAGGTAGAAAGATTGAACAGAGGGAATGGAGCGAAATATTTCCCCCCTTTTCGCCCTTCTGAGGTAGTACAGTCTACCTCCTTGATGTCTCCACTCCCACTGACGTGAGGTTGCTGCTGAATGAAATTAGAGGTTTACCTCATTTGCCAAGCTTCATTGTAATGTTCAACATGAAAATGAAATAAAGCAAAATCTGTACCTGTATGACATTACTTTTCTTTTTGGAAGCCTTGCATGTTAGTGTCAAATGTAGACATTAAACACTGGACAGTCATCACCCACAGTAGTTAAACTCTCAGTGTATCCCCTTCAAAGTATTCAGCAGACACCATAGCAAAGACTAATACTGCAGAGAAGCAAGCAGCCAGTATTTTTCAAGATGTCCGCTGCAGGAGTTTGAAGTTAATATCCTTTCTTTTAAAACCAGCTCCAGCATTTTCCAGGTATGTTGGCTAAGTTTTGGCATCACAATATGTGGTGGCCTGCCATGAGCTTCACGTTAACAGAGAGATGCCTGAGATTTTTTTTGCAAGTCCTTTGATGGCAAGTAAACTATATTATACTTTTAGATTTTCTTTGACATGAATTAAAATTCTACACTCATGTAGGAGCAGGCCCTTGAGGAATAATAGGAAGAATAGAAGTTGTATTTAAATTGACTATGCTAATGGTGATCATCTGCATTCCTTGGCCAGAGAGTTGCAGATTTTGAAGATTAAAAAAACCCAAAAACATTCCAGCATTTTACTGGCATTATAAATAATCACAGAGAGATGAAAACATGTCTTTTCTTGCCAAAAGAATCTAGAGAAGCAGAAGATGGCAGGCCTGGAGGCCCAGAAGAGGCCCCTGTTGTTGGCAGCGCTGAATGGACTCTCAGTTGCTAGAGTTCCAGTGCCTGAGGATAGCCAGGATGAAGTAGCCAAGGTGCCAATGGACGAGAGGGTAAGATCGAGTTTTGTGAAATATTGTTCGTTCCTTTTGTTTCCAGTGGTACGCATTTCTGAATTTGGATTTAAAACTTGAATCTATTACTCATAGATCGACACATGTTAAAACATTTTGTGGAGGAGCCATTCATTGTCTTTGAGTGGACAGGACAAACACTAAGGTGTTTGATCACTGGTGGATCAAAAAGTTCTGAATGCTCTGAACAGTCGTGCGAGAGGCAAGGATTTTTTAGGGTGGTATCTTTTATTGGACCAGCTATGTAGTTGGGATAGAGTTAGACAAGCTTCGAATGCAAGATGTTCTTACATAGTTGGTCCAAAAAAAGGATACCACCCTAAACAATCCTTGCCTTGCATAAGTTTTGGACCCTTACAACTACAACATCACTCTTACACTACCTAAACACCCATGGTACTGGAAGTTGGGAGTACTCGGCACCTTACACAATCAAGCCTTAAAATTAATATTCTGCCCATCTTTTTCGCCAGGGATCTTTCCACATCAGTCACTGTTAGTTGTAAGAAAAAGTCCAGAATTGATGCATGAATTTGGATGGTCCTTAATCACTGCTCAAGAGTCAAAGAACTCTTTCTCTTAGTTCTCTGTGTAGGTGTATGCGGATATATGCATGTTTCCTCAGGTTTTTTTAAAAGAGCTGCTGCTACTGACATATATTCCTGTTTTGTACATTGAACTTTATACCCAATGTCAGGTGTGTATGCAAACGAGAAAGCTTGTACCTTATTTGTATGTATATGAGGCTTTGCATGTGGACAGAAGTTGTATGTGTACAAATTTAAGCCGTATCTTGAAATGTAGGCCAAGCTGTATTATAATAGGGTAGGGGTGCTCAACATCTGGCCTGTGGACCAAATCTGGGCCATGGTGGCATGTCATCCAATCCATGTGGCGCCCACAGGTCCAGAAATTTAGCAGTAAGGGAGTGATGGCAACGCTCCCCTGCTGCCAAAGTTCCTGACCTGTAGAGAGCCCTGGGCCCTGCCCTGCATGCCAGACAAATCACCTGATCCCAGCACTCGGAGCCAGGCAGACGTGGTGCTGGGCCTCAGGGCCCAGTTCCACCACACAGGAACAATGCCAGGCACCAGGCCTGATTCCAGTGCAGGGGGCCAGGAGTGCTTGGCACTGAGCCCCCAGGGCCCAATCCTGGTACATGGACACAGGAAAGGCTGGTGCAAGGCCTCAAGGCCCAATCCCAGTGCACGGGAACAAGTTAGGGCAATGCTGGGCCCCAAGGGCTCAATCTTTGTGCGTGGGGCCAGGAGGGGCAGCGCTGGGCTCCAGGTTCTGATGCCAGTACACTGGGCTTGATCCAGCTAGCTTTATCTTGCAGCAAAATCGATAGAAAAGTTAAAAAAAAAGATTAAAATTAAGTTTAAAAAAATGTGCTGGAAACAAAATTCTTGGCTGGTTACCTCAATTGAATTAAATGAAGTTGTATATCCTCTAGCGGCATAACATTGTATACTAAACCATATGATTTGAGCTACAATAGAGCATTTTAGATTCTTTACATTTCAGCAGGTTCGTCTACACAAGATGTTTACTGCGAAGCTGACTAGCTCCACGGTAATCCAGTAATCTATGTGTGCGCCCTTACTAGGGCACAGGAAACTAATCAACTCCGCAGCAGGGTAGTACTTCTAAATACCTGGGATAGAGTTAGATAAACTCCTGCTGCAGGGTTTTTTCGTGCGCAGCAGTGCATGTGTAGATGCTGAACCAGCTGGTTGGGCACAAAGGTGTTTCAGTGTGGAAGCTGCGTGCCAGCCAGCCCTGTGCTAAAGCACCCTCGTGTCCCAGCCAGCCCCTCCGCAGAACATTAGGCCCAGTCAGAGCAGCCCCAGGCTGGCAGGCTGAACTCCAGGGCCCCTCACCAGCTGGCTCAGTGTGTTGCAGTGCAGTCATATGTGTAAACAGCATGCCTGGGAGCTTCCCAGGAGCAATAAACTCTGGCGCAGTAAGCTCTGGAGTTTATTGCTGCACATTAATGGCATATGTGGATGTGCCCACCGTGTAGAGAATCAGCAGTACAAATGTTCTGTCAAAAAGTTTGTTGAATTTGGTTCCTTTTGTGCTGTTACATCACAGTGCAAAATCTTGAAAAGGAAGTTGGAAGAAGGAATGGTATTCACAGAATATGAACAAATTCCAAAGAAAAAGGCAGATGGGATCTTCACCACCGCAGCCTTGCCTGAAAATGCTGAGCGAAACCGAATCAGGGAGGTTGTTCCTTATGAGGAGAACCGAGTGGAACTGGTACCAACCAAAGAAAATAATACAGGTTACATCAATGCTTCACACACAAAGGTAAAAGCTTATCCAGCATTGTATGGAATAGAGGATACCATAAGGAAATGTGTGTGGTTATTGTGTGCACAGCCAATGTTTTCTGACATTCTAGGACTTAAAAAAATGATTTGCTTACCTTTCCTTAGGTGTCTTAATAAAAATAGGCATGCTACTTTACCTTTGACATGATATCACTATATTGCATCTTTACTTTCCAGACTGAGGTCACACTGATGAGCTCATTTACTTCTTACCTTTGTTACATTTTGGTGAATCTAGAAATAATTTTGCAGAAATACCACCTTCTGTGCAATGCTGTGTGAGCTTGCTCCTGATGGCTTTTGTTAATTAAGTTGAGGAGGGTACTCAACTTGTTTTTAAATGCAACTAACATGTAGGGGCAAGCACAGTTCAGTTTCTACCACTCTGAACTTGCAAGAGCAACTGAATCAAAGGAAATGTTTATCTTAGGAGAAAAGTGTAGACCTGGCTTCCCTTTAGAGACTCTGTTAGAGATGGGAGACAGACTTGCACAGTGCACCCTCTGGTTTATGTGGTCCTATGCCCAGCCACGCCATTTTGGCACTACGTGGCCCAGTTCTGCATCCCCAGGTAGAATGGCCATCTGTTGTTGCTAAGCTTTGTGCTGTCTCATGTAACCTGGACTGTGGTTTTGCTGGCACACACCCACTGGTAGCATGTAAACAATATAGCCCCAAATGCCTTTATCCAACTTTTATTCTTTTACTGCAAACTTTTATAAGACTCGGTGTTTAATAATTAGGGTTACAGTTCTACTGATTAAAAATGTGTGCAAAATTGCATTCACTTTGTGCACACACAGATATTTCAGGTCTACAGGTGGATCTGCAGATATTGCTTGTGCAGTCATATGCACTCCTTTTTTTCTGCATGCGCAGCTGCAGGCAACAAGTGTTGTAAATCAGGTCCCTAAAATTCGAAAGGTCCATGTGTCACTCAGCCTGCGCTGTTACAAACAGAAGTGTTTTGCAAAAAGCTTTGCTTTGCTCTACTTACTCTAGAGTGGGGGCAGGCAATTCTTTTGGGCAGAGGGCCACTTACTGCGTTTTGGCAAGCCATCGAGGGCCACATGAAAGGCAGCCAGGGGCAGATAAATATTAATTTTCTAAATTTTTTAGGGGTCCCGCAGGCCGGATAGAATGGCCTGGTGGGCCGCATCCAGCCCACAGGCCACATTTTGCCCACCCCTGCTCTAGAGCCATCCACACGAAGAGTCACTGAAGGTACAGTACATACATTCTCACTCTGCGTGCCCCTTGGTAGCATGCTGTCTGCTCAGCATTAGCAGAGAGCTGTCTTGCATCACTCATTTTTATCTTCTCAACTTCCAATAAACAATTTTTCAAATCCCTTTGTCCTAAGAGAAGTACTGGTACTCTGTTTGTGCCAGAGGCTCATGCGGTAAGAAAGGGCTCCCTGCTTTTCCCATTCTAAAAACAAAATGAACGTGAATTAATTTAAATTATAATAACAAGATATTCTGTTCATTTACACTTTCCAGGAACAAAAGCCTTTACGTTCAAAGAGAATAGCTGGCCTTTTTAGTCATGATTTACGATATTAAGCTCTGTTGATTCAAAAACACCTTTCTAAACTAGGATCCTGGCAGGTTATCACTTTTCAACCAGAGTCCTGGTGGGTAGCAGATACTGTTTTTTGGCATCGTATGCCATTGCTAGAATGATGGATTACTGAATCCAATTTTTTTCATCTACTTTATGGGAGGGAAAAAAAAATACCAACAGCATAAATTGTGCCCGTAAGGTGGTATCAGCCAGAAAAGAATTTTCCCCAGCCAGTTTTAAGAGTCCACATTTCATCTTATGTGTCAGCATTGGACACGCTCTCATTGGAGATCTATAGAGCATGCAGAAATATGCACTAATGTTTTGGTATATCGCCGTGGCTCCTGCCAGAGTTTTTTGTTTCTTGCACTCCAAGTGGCAGTTCCAGAAGCCAAGCAGATGTTCTTTTGCTTAGAAGGTGAAATCACATCTGTGAGATTTACCTCAGCAGCACAGTGTGTGTTTGCAGCCCAATACTCCATTTCTGAGATCCTGCTGTCGAGGCATCAGAATGCAGCAAGCATTCCAGGCATGGCTCTCCCTCCACACTATTTATGGTTCTTTCATATCATGTGCCAGGAGTCTTGATAGCTGGACCAGAAGTCAGCAGACAGAAAACTCCTATATCTTCCTGATAAGATCCATGCCCAGAGGATCCTGACTCCTACCACCAAGTCTGCAATCCCTGTGGGGTTGTCAGCACTTTTCTGCTTGCTTACAATTGCTCCTCTGCTATCAGGTTGTTAAGCTTGTAATCTGAACACAGAGACAAAGCTATCATTAAATTTGATTTTTTTTTTTTAAAGAGAAATGCATGTTGTTGCTGTGCCATAGGGCCCTAATCCAAAGATCACTCTGGATGCACAACGTCCTGGAGTTATCTGACCTCCACAGTCTTTCCTGCCCAGAGCAGGGGGGCTGGACCCAGTGATCTCACAAGCTCCCTTCCAGCCTTAAGCTTCTGTGAATAGGAAAAGAAAAGATTCCCACTGTCTTCGGCAGGCTTTGGATCAGTCCCATATTATGTTCAGATTTAATCGAATAATAAAACCATATATGTATATAGATATGCATATATGTAGAACCAGATCAAGGGAGATGTTGAGCATCTGAAATGCCAGTTGATTTCAAGGACTGTTCGGCAGTTACCTGGATTTGGCGCACAGATTTTACCTGTTGTGCTCAAACAAAAGTGTTGGATATTACTGAATAGGAAACAGACCAAGAACTAGATTTGAAAAGGAAGAAAAGACCCTTTGAGTGCAGCAGAAATCTAATTATACAACTATGCCGTGAATGTGTAGTATTTAGCTGTAAAAGGCAAACATTCCAAATTAAGTGCTGTTTGAGTAGTAAAAGCTAAACTGCCTGACTTCTCTAAAATTTATATGAAGCCCTGTACTTCAGACATGGTACCTACTTATTCTTGTCAGAATTATTGATTGCTGCTTATAGCATTGTCCGCCAGCCCCTTGATATTTATGACTATGTCAGCATTTCTATTATAAATCTTTTTCTCTGGGATTTATATCTTTGTCATAAAAAGTTGCTCCAAGCTAAAGCTTGGAATTAGAAGGTTCCAGTCCTGGGCGCGTGCATGAGTGTGTGTTTATGCGTGCACATCTTGATCTGGTTCTGCATTTGTATGCTTTTATATATAGTTGTTAAAACTTGCTGTAATTGGTTCATCTGATTCTTGTTTTTATCTGCTAAAATGTTGTTTAAAATGTGTTTTAGCAAGTATTACTAATAATGCCTTTTTTATTTTTCCAATTTTTAAAGTGATTTTTAAATGATCTGAATATGAAGATTTTTTTCGAGTTCTTTTATAAGATGTCTTGTTCTTAATAAAATATTTAAAATATACAGGTTACCTAAAATGTTGTGAATTATGTATAAAATAAAAGATTTTTAATGCTTCAAGATAACTTACCAGTACATTGGTATTATTACACAATGTACGGTATGTAAGTCTTTTTTCAGGACTTTGAATTTAGATTGCCTACTCCGTTACAGGGCAATACACTAAGAATCTTTTTACAAGATCTGTTTTGTCAATTGTGTGTTGAATAAAGGTCTGAGTATGGATTTACATAATTTACACTAGAAAAAAACATTCATTGTGTCACATATACTGAGTAGCAAACTGCAACCACCATCCTGAAAACACATATTGATAAAAGAAGAGTAAACTAACAAAACAAAGCTTGCTATGCTGTCTCTGTCTTTCATAGCTGGCCAACAAAAGGTATTTCAGACTGGTGTATGATGAGTATAACTGCAACTTTAAAGGAGATCCACATGAAAGTAGGACATTTTAGAAATAATTGTTCTCCATTATAAATTAAGACAGGATCAAAACTGTTAGACTCCTAGGGCAGTTCAGACTAAGACTTGTTAGAGTCGTCCTTCTGGTGCTTTCAGTGGACTTGGAATCAGATCTTTAAAAATACATTTTCCTTTCTTGGCTACACGTTACTTTATATTGATTTTCCTGCGGTAACAGGAAATGACATTGTGGTTTCTCTGAAATTGCTGGTCTTTGTTCCCTGCTGCATCTGTGGATAACTGCTTAACACGTAATTTGGGAGAATCTTGGGGAAGTCCTTTGTTTAATGCCCAAGCCCTTTAACTCATGGCAGAAGAGGAGCACTTGGAAGCCTGGAAGGGTTAATATCTTACACTGATTTACAACAGTCATAATAATTTTATCCTAAATTGTGGAGTACAGTGAAAGCTTAGGAATAAAGGGTTTTATTAATGTCTTTTACATTAAAAAAAGAGTACTAACAGCTGCCATAGAAAAGTTTGGCCTTATCCATGTTTTTTCTGATTCCCAGGTTACTGTTGGTGGAGAGGAATGGCACTACATAGCCACACAAGGACCTTTGCCACACACATGCCATGACTTCTGGCAGATGGTATGGGAACAGGGGGTGAATGTTATAGCCATGGTCACAGCTGAAGAGGTATGTACAATTGCTGAGAGCATTTATTTCTGAATGTGAAACTCTACCATAATCACTCTTTCTCATTCCAATAATCAGTGTTGTTGGGATCCCCCTGGCAGACCTTTTATTGTCTCATTTTATTCCCTCTGAACACTTGTCTGCACATAATGTACTGCTGCAAAAA